ATCCCACCAGGTCCCCATGGCTCATGTGTCCCTTCTTCCATGTCTTCTTACTGGGGCAGTGCTGCCCCCCTGTAAAATGCCGCCCTAGGCAAATGCCTTGTTTGCCTTGTGGTAAATACACCAATAGTGTCAGGGTATATATAGTTGTGCAAGTGTGTTTCACCTACAGCTCTGGCAACTAAAGTTCAAATAAGGTTTACAGGAAAACCACTTTACTGATTATATTTCCTGATCAGAAATAAATGGCTGAACATATTGCAGGGGCATTGCAATTTAGTCCTCGTGCACACTAAGCATTTTGAAAATGCCAGTAGCATTAGCTGTATAAAGTCATGTTAAAAAAGCAAATGTTTCCGCATTTTTTAGCATTTTTGCATTAGCGCTTAGCCACGTTTTTCCGCATTTTTCTAAATGTAAGTTTTTAGCATTTTTTACACAATAACATTTTACTCAAAAAAAGCCTCTAAAAATTCAGATTTGCTGCGTTTTACTGCCCCCTTTACCAGAGTTAGAGCATTTTTACAGCTAAAAAACTCCTCTAGAAACCCACTAGTTCTGGGGTTTTTTCCAACCAAAAAATGCCGCTGTCAAAAAACGCTGATTAAAGCCTATTTGTGCATGGACACATAGGATAACATGCTGGGGAGTTTACTGCCTGTGGAAAGCCAAAAATAGCAGCTGGAAAAACATCCAGTGTGCATGAGGACGTATTCTTTTTGTCCTTCATTTGTGCTGTTTTTTCAATTATACAAACTCTTAGGTAATACAAAAAGATAAAGCAAGCCTACATTTGATAAATATTTTGGAAAGATATCTAAATTTAATTCATATTCTTTTAGGGCTGCAACAAGTTGTCAATATAAAGTGCACTTATTTTATGTAAAGAAGCTGGTTAGGGAAAGTTTTCTCACTCTTGTTTTTGTTATTGAAACTAAGGCTCCATACACACAAGTGTTTTTTTTAAGCTAAAAAAACACTGGAAAAAATGCTGGCAACAGTGTTTTTTTTTTGTTTACAAATGGTTTTATTTTGCAAAAGTAGACTGTAAAACAACAATACATTTTCAAATGATACTTACAGCAAAAACAAGGCACTATTGAAAAATACAATACAGAAAAGAATATTAACATAAGAAAGAGAAGAAATAGAAAAGAATGGATTGCAAGTACATGAAATATATAGATGATAAAGTAGGTTGAATGATACATCTGTCAACAGTATATGCCAGTCAATCTTCACTTGGAATGTTGCACACGCAATAAATGTCTATAATCCCTCCATGATTCCCATTTTTTATCAATAAGTGCATCCCATCCAGTAAGGTATAATGAATACATTCCATGAGCATCACTGCATCAACCCTGCGTAAAACAGAGGCCAACGGTACAGCATTGGACTTCCAATGTAAGGCAATAGCCCATAAAGTGGCAATACAAATAGTATGTATCAGTCTCATAGAGGCATCAGAGACCCTCAGGATATGAGCCCCCAATAAACAGGTCTGTATAGACAATCGTTCCGGGATACTCGCCAGTGAGGTAGCCACCTCAGATATCTTGCGCCAAATCAAAGATTTGGTCGGGCAATCCCAAAATATATCAACCAATGTACCTGTGAGGCCACAGCCCTGGAAACACAAAGGGATGTTTGTGGGAACAATACATGTAGTCTTGATGGGGTATAGTACCATCTGGTTAGAACCTTGAGGGCAGTCTCACGAACAGAAAGAGATCTAGAACACTTACATATGTTATCCACCATGGAATCCCAATCCTTATCTGAAAAAAGTGATACCACTATCCTCCTCCCATTTTTGTCTATATAAGGGGGGTGTTTGAGAAAGACAGATCAAAGATTGGTGATAAAGATCAGAAATAAGACCCCTACCCCTAGGAGAGTCTCGGCTGATACGTTCAAAAAATGGGTAACAGTGTTTTTAGCAGCGTTTTAGTAGCGTTTAGAAGCATTTAGAAGCTCTAAAGCTTTCTTTTAGCATTTTTAGTACATGTAGGGAAGAACAAAAAGCTAGAAAAAAGCAGTTTTAGTAGTGTTTAGTAGCGTTTAGCATTTTTTTTTCTGCTCCCAAAAACTCTACAAAAACAAAATTTTCTGCTCCTAAATACTGACGCTTGAAAAACGCCACTAGCCTAAAATAGTGTGGACACACTGGATAACATTACTTAGCTTCTACGAGCAGAAAGAAATGCTGATAATAGCTTCTAGGAGGTTAAAAAATGCTAGTGTGCTTTGAGCTTTAACTCTAAGGGCTTTATTTACACTTGAGTACTGTAATTCAAAGTCAACGTCATCCCAATGCAAGTCTAAAGCAAGGATCTCCAAACTGCAGCCCGATGGCCGCATGTGGCCCTCTGCTTGATTTTATCTGGCCCTTGGGGCACTACTCCTTGCACTGTTCCTCCCATTGACACAAATGATGGGACACTATTCCTTCCACTGACATCAGAGATAGGGAACAAATTCTCCCCCACTGTCACCAATAATGGGGCCCTATTCCTCCCACTGACACCAGTGAAGTAATTGGCCCTTTTGGCATTGTTTACTCCCACCAATGCTAGGGCATTTTCTACTCCCACTGGCCACAGTCCGGCCCCCATAAAGTTTGAACTGGCCCTTTGTTTTGAAAGTTTACAGGACTTGTTTTTTGTGCATTAAGGTGCTTTGACAGTCTATTTATTTTAAATGACCTGCATAACACAACACACCTTTATATAGTAGAACTATAGGAAAAACTTTTTTTTTCTCATTTTGGATAGAGTAAGGGATGGTCATAACCCCTTTAAGTTTATTTTTCCCTTTGCTTCCTGTCCCATAACCAAAACAGGAATTGAGATTAAATACCTGCAATTTATGGGAATTTCCCCCAGGTCACCGGAACTAGTGTCCCCAATTGATGATTTCCCCTGTATTACGTTTCTGGGGACAACCCAAATATTGGATTTTCTTTTACTTTCACTTTCATTGATAACGGTAAACAGGACAAACAGAGAAGGGTGAATCTATCTAACAGGGACACAGACAGCAATACAAACTGACAGGGGTTTTAACCATCTCCACTCTATTCAAAACTAAAAAAAAAGAAAAAAAAGTTTGCCTTTAGTTGCACTTTATGTGTATGTGGAGCCATTTTTTAAAAGTTCTGGATAGAGTAGGGAAGAGTTAAAATCCCTGGTTATTTTTGTATGTCTCTGTACCACTTCGAAGAGGAAAAAAGGATTGTAGTCTGGGGTCATGTATTTCAAAACCCATTTTGTGGAGACTTAAAGTATTACTAAACCCACAACAGTAAAATCAGTCTGTATATACAGTAAAGCATGCTTGTTATACTCACTGCAGAACCTAAGGGGTTAATCCTCTGCATTGTGCAAAAAGGCTGTTTGATCCTGACTTCTCTGTCCCTCCTCTTGTTCAGATGCCCATGCTGATAAGACAGACTGAACCAGTAGCCACTCTGTACATGCTCAGTTTGGTGTGTATTGCTAGAGAAAACTTTTCTTTCTTGGGAGAGTGCATTTGATCAGCACAGGGCCAATCAGCACTGTCCAGAAATAGGTCAAGGGTACTGCATCCTCCTAGAGCAGAAAGAAAACTCCTCTTACAAGCTTTAACCAGTGCTCAGCTGAAGTCACAAGACTGCTATATACTGCTAATAAGAAAAGGTATTTAGCAGTTTATATTTACTAAAATAATTGAATTTCCATGTTGTGTGTACTGTGGGAGACCAGATATAGTGAATACACGGTCTTGGGTTTAGTAACACTTTAAGCTGCCCATTTATGCATCAAATTTTGAACTATTCAACCCTGTTGGCATCACCTGGCAGAGTCGGGTCTAGCCGTTCTGATCTGGGGGTGCAGTAATAAAGTCAGGGGGCACAATGTCAGCACTGTGTTTGAGTCAATGACAGTCTGTCACACAGAAGGGGATTTACTAAAACCGGTGCACTCAGAAGATGGTACAGCTGTGCATGTCAGCCAATCAGCTTCTAACTTCTTGTCCAATTAAGCTTTGACAATAAACCCTGGAAGCTGAATGGTTTCTATCCAAAGCTGCACCAGATTTTGCACGCTTCAGTTTTAGTAAATGAGCCCCACAGTGTCATGACCTGGGAAACACAAGTATGTATTAGACTGTCATTCAGTTAGGATGATTAAACAGAACCTGTGCCCCCTTATATCAGATGTCCCTATAGGGGTCCCCCTTTACATCAGGAGTCCCTCTTTACATCATGAGTAGTCATCAGAGTTCCCCTTTACATCAGGTTCCCATCAGAGTACCCCCTTACATCAGGGTTCCCATCAAAGTGGTCACTTACATCAGTATCTCCATGAGAAAATAAAAAATAATATCCATCTTTTATATTATCCTCAAATACAAAATCACTGTTAAATTGCAAGTGCTCATTAGAGTAAAACAACTATGGCAGTAATATGGAGGATTCCTTTCCACTCACGTTTTTTATAGCTGGATGAAATCAAAATAAGTATGTTAGTTTTAGATGCTAGAATGCTTTTGATGAAGTATTAGGTACAACCAGTGCTGATATACTAAATTCTTGTTGTCATTGTCCCTGTTGGAGATTTTGCCTGTTTGAAATTTATTGCAGACCAACTGGCTGGACTAAAAAATAAATTACTTGATTCCCCCAACTACATAGTCGAGGTGGATGGGGGAATCACTCCTGCTGAGATATTGTATTCTGACAGTGGAGGGACTTCACCACCGTCAGCATACACTGATCAGCACTGCCAGCTATAGCCAGAGGCATGCAATACTAAAAAATGTTATTTCATCAAATTAACCACTAGCCTACAGGGCACTTATACCCCCTTCCTGCCCAGGCCAATTTCCAGCTTTCAGCGCTGTCGCACTTTGAATGACAATTGCTCGGTCATGCAACACTGTGCCCATATGAAATTTTTATAATTTTTTTGTGACAGATTGAGCTTTATTTTGGTGGTATTTAATCACCTCTGGGGTTTTTATTTTTTTCTTAAACAAACCAAAAACCACTGAAAATTTTGAAACAAAAAACGTTTTTTCTTAGTTTTTGTTATACAATTTTGTAAATAAGTGATTTTTCTCCTTCACTGATATGCGCTAATGAGGCTGCAGTGGTGGGCACTGATAGGCTGCACTGATGGACACTGATAGGTGGCACTGATGGGCACTGATGAGGAGGCACTGGTAGGTGGCACTGATGGGCATTGACAGGCATCACTGATGGGCACTGAAAGGCAGCACTGATACATGGCACTGATAGGCGGCACTGATAGGCGGCACTGACTGGCACTGATAGGCACTGACTGGCACTGATAGGCAGCACTGACTGGCACTGATAGATAGCGGCACTGACACTGGGCACTGATAGGTGGCACTGACTGGCATTGATAGGTGGCACTGATTGGCAGCACTGATAGGTGGCACTGATTGGCATTGATAGGTGGCACTGACTGGCACTGATGGGTGACACTGAAAGGCAGCTCAGATGGGCACTGATATGTGGCACTGATGTGCACTGGTAGGCACTGATATGTGGCACTGATGTGCCCTAATGATCAGTGTACATGTCCCCTCCGAGGAATGCCGATTACCGGCTCTCCTCTTCTCTCGAGCTGTCAGCGTGACAGCTCGAGAGGAGAGAAATGCCAATAACGGCATTTCCCTGTTTACATGTGATCAGCTGTAATTGGACACAGCTGATCACATGACCGAGCAGACATCTTCGGCTCTTTCCATGATCGGTGATCCACTGTGTCTGAGGGACACATCGCACTGCTGATTGCCGCGCTGCACTCCCTGAGCTGCACATGCGCGGTGAGAATGGGAGGACGTCATATGACGTCCTCCCAGAACGAGAGAACCACCTTGCGTCTGTCATATTACTATATAGCGGGCGGGAGGTGGTTAAAATATCAAGTTTGAGGTAAACATCAAAAATTCCTTAAAAAGGTAAGGCAGATACTGGAAAAAAAAAAAAAATGAGATTCGCAAAAAAAGTCCCACATTCGTTATTTATCTCATTGTACAGGCAGTTCATATTATAGAAATATATAAAATAACAATGAAGGTAACTCTGCACTGGACAGTAAGCTAAAGTGGTTGGAAACCCTTACATATATCCAGTGAAGAGACTGGCCTCAGGTAATACACAGATACTAAACAAATCCTCCTACATAAATTGCACCCGTTTATCTGCAGCCCTCTGTTCTCCAGAGCCATTCTAAGTGCACAGTTTACACAGCATTTCAGAGCTTCCAGAGGTAGGGCCTGGGGGGATCTGACATCACATACTGCACAGCATCATGCACAGAGCTGAGTGTAATCTGAGACCTGAGTGAAGGAAATGGACACACCTGCCCCTCTACACAGCCTCATGCAGAGCTGAGGCTTTGAATCATAGGCTGTGCGCTGGAGTCTGTCTCTCCTGTCACCAGTGATTTCTTGGAGTCACAAAAACTGACTCACGCAGAGGAAGGAGACGACATAAATCACACTCAATGCTTTGGATTGAGGTAAGTACACTTTATGGAAGTACATGCTTTTTTCAGTTTTCATTTCAGAGGTTTATAACCACTGGCTGTATAATGTGTACAATGTTTCAATGTGGTAATGTTACGCCCTGAGCTCAGGAATGTAAATAAACTGTAACATCTCATTACAAGGAGATGGTTCTTTGAGGCTGGGTTCACACATATGCAGTGCGGTATATCGCATGTGATTCGCAGAGGAACCACACCGCATTTCTGTGCAAGTCACATTCGAATTGTGTGCGGTGCGATTGGAGGCATACATTTTGTATGGCTCAAATCACACCGCATCCGCACCAAAAAGATGCAGGACCCTTTTTTTGGTCTGCACTAGAATCGGATCTCATGGTATTCACACCCATGCAATGCAATTCTGCACATCGCACTGCATTTTGCGGACCAATTTCAGGGTGTTGTTAACTTAACATACACACCTGCAGCGGTTTGCATGAGCGTGGAGCGATTGTGATGTGGTGTGGAACTCATTCACAAAACCACACCACATCAGTGTGAGCCCAGGCTTAATGAAGTCAGAAGATATTCTCATAGTTTCACAATATTTCTGTGTGCCTTTGTTCAAAGAACAATCTTCCTCTGGTGCAGTGTTAGCCTGTGAAAAAAATTGCAATAAAACAACAAAAAAATACTAGTGCTAAATATAAAAACATAAATATTTAACTGATTTGCTAAATAACGCATGTTTTTGAGTGGATTGAATGCTTTAGACATAAATACTGCATCAGTTATTTTTAAGACAAAAAATGAATGTGACATTCGTGAATTGACCCCTGTGTATTGGTGAATGTTCTGCCTGCTTGTGTCCATCAGATATAATTACTACACCTGATGAGCACTAGACTAATAAGACACTCAGAGACTGTGGGATATGTAATTTCATCAAAGGAAGTGTCAGTTTTCAGACTACAGACAAAAATCAGGCATTAACTTGTGCAGTGCTATGCTGGATGCCTCATGTTTAAACACAAACTGAAACTTCTGACACAGGAATGTGAAGATTTACTCTACCATAGGCTATGCATAAAAGGCAACAAATGACACCATGACGCACATGACCAATGCACGTCTTAGGCAGGTGAAAAAACAAGGTGATGGTAGGAAAAGTATAATGGAGCATAGATTCACTTTAGGCCTAACCTTTAACCTAAAGATACCCTAAAATGTATATAACCCCTAATCCTTTTGACAAAATAATGTATTGATGAGAAGAAAATTATAATGGTGAAAATGGCCATATGATATATTTTACATTTTATTGCATCTAAATGCAAAAAAAAAAAAATTTGCAAAGAAAACTCTCTACCCAAATCTTGTACTAAAAATGAACGATCAGCACAAATGATAGCAATGCAAATGCAGATCTAATCATTATTGTTCCTAGTATAATACCATTGTACTACCATTGTGGATAAGAAAAATAGAGTCAATGATCTAAACTTACATATGACACATCATTTCCTGTCTAACTTCTCAGTCGTGCTTCTCTTCTGGTCTTTCCCTTTATTCAACTGTTTTTACTTCTCTTTTTACAGTTCTGCTTTTCCTACTCGAAACAATAGTTTTTGACTCCTACAGGGTATAGCTACTGTGGCATATTTACTACTTTGTAATATAAAAAAACTGACCAGGCTAATTTTCATCCTCCATTTCTCCTTATAAAGTAATGAAATGCTGTATGTCCGGCACAGAAGGTTTTTCACCTTATTGCATAGAATGCATTAAGGCAAAAAGCTTTAAGGCTTTAGAACCACTTTAAGAAAGGACATAAGGTAAGGCTTATATCAACTTGCTCAGATCAAAGAAGGGTCAGACTTGAAACAAAGGTTGCTAAAATAATTGTGTGTTACAATTCACCTGGAAGCAATTGTTTTTTTTCAACAAAATTTTGTCTTTAGCAACTATAATAATATTCATTGCAATTAAAAGGTAGCTAAAGCCCATCTCCAAGAAAAAGTAAAAGTCCTCCCGTGGGGATTCTGCACCCACTGCAGTGTTAAATGCTTGTTTACTCTAGGGGAGAGTAAAAGCATTTAACTTACCTGATCCTCCACTCCCTCAGGAAATGGTGCTGTAATTTGGCGTCCTCATGCGCAGGGACAGGGCTATCATCCCTGCATTGGTCTTGATGATGTCACAGGACAAGACTGCAGGAGAAAAGGGCCTGCAGGGACTGGGCTACAAGCATGGAGCAGCTTTCAGAAGTGAAAAAAATCAGGTGAAAGATCATTGAGAAGTGTTAACCCTTGCAGTGGCGAGGATGTATACTTTTCCCAGAATTCAGGTTTAAAGGTAAACTGTTACAATAACTGTTATCTACAGGAAATGTTGGATGGTGCCACTGTCCAACCCTTGCAAGAAGTGCTTGTGCAGGGCACATGTCTGCTCTGTTACACCAGGGGCAGACTGACAACTCATGGGGCCCCTGGGCAATAGAGGATCATGGGGCCCCTGTGTCCTTGCCCAAACTCAAAAAAGCCTATGAAAAAGGTATTAGAGGCATCTCATGAGGCCCCCTACTGACCCCGGGCCCTCGGGCAGTGCCCGAGTTTCCAAATGGTCAGTCCGCCCCTGTGTTGCACACTATAGTGTGGCTGTCCCAGAACTAGCACTGCTTTCCAGTCTTTGGCAAGTACTGGATGGGAGCCGAAGCTACAGTATAGTGGGTAAAAGTTGACTGGACATGTTTCCTTTTAAAGCTGAACTCCAGGCAAACAGCTAAATACACATGTGAAATATATATATGGGAGCTGTTTTACCTGCCCTGGATTTCAGTTTCTCTATATCTAGTCTTGAAATGGACACAGCCCTGATGCATAGCGCAGTCCTGTCTTTCAGAGCAGAAAAACCTCAATTTTCCATATGAAAGTGTAAGGTGAAGAGCCGGCAACTCGTTCTCCCAATAAAAGCATTTTATTAATAAAGGGAACAGTGTGCAAGTTATAGGAGCTTACATGTTTCGGTAAAAAAAAACCTTATTCATAGCCCCCTTCAATTTTCCATACTCCAGTTAAGTACACTTACAGGACTTGTCCCTCCTCAGCCTGTGACTGGATAGTGAAGAGATAAGCAACACACTAATAAGCTCATCTCTCAGCTCTCTCCTCCTCTCAGTATATCACATGTTAGCACATAAGCATTGCAGTATAACTGATTGGCTCCTAATGCTGTCCTCCTTTGCCCAGTCTGAGCTTTGCAGTACAGGGAATTGCAAAAAGCTAATACAAAGGTCCCTTTCACATCTGTCTGCAGATCCTCTGCTGATCAGAGCAGAGTGGACGGATGACAGGTCTGTGCCCAATCAGTTTATGCGGAGTGGACACAGACAGAGCCCGCTCTGATCTATGGATGGTCAGGTGTAAACAGACTCCACTGTCCATTTACACACGACTGCCTTACGATCCGATCTGCCTAGATGGGGGGGAATGGATCCCCTTCTGTTTCTTATAGGGATCAGTTCAGATTGGAGGTACTGTAGGTGGGTGAAAATGGATACAATTTAGTTTACCGCCCCCAACGCATAGGGGTAAATAGCGGGTCTGATCAGGTCCACCTGAAAAACTGACTAAAAACAGGCAGACCTTATCTTTTCCTTCCTGTGAGAGGAGCTCAAGTCAAACTGCTTGTACTTACTATGTTTTCCTTTAAAAGTAGATTTATTGATGTAATGGAATACAGATCTGCACTAACCTGTATCTTTTGCATCTGCCAGGAGTTCAGCTTTAAAGTTTATGCTTACAGTGACCAAGCAGATTGCACTTTTCATTCTTGCAGTACAAGTTAAGAAATGCTGATTGACATCAGTGTGTTTCATATTCAATCAAGAAACATAACCAGCAATCATTTAAAATGCACATTTAACAGCACAGATATGCAACTGTTGATTTACTTAAGGACTAGAGGATGTTCACTTAACAGGTAAATTAAGTTGTACTTTTCTTCTCTCACGGATAAATCAGCCCTTCTCTGTTTTAGTTGCCTAACTTACTAAAGAAAAAAGACCTTTGTTCAAAATGAACTGTTGCATCTGTTTCCCTTTTCTCTGCTTTTTCTAATATTGGTGCAAAACTGTATTTCATGTGCATATTCATATCATACATATGTAACATTTATGGATACTGTATATACATAAAAATAATAACCAATAGGTGCGTAGTCTTTATACCAGATGAAAATCAATGCCACACCTATGTGACAATATAAATAAAGATTTACATACTGTATAACCCAAAACTGTTGTATATGTATACGCAATAACCAAACATTAATAGTCATGTTACATGAAAATAAAAAATATGTGATTAATAGCGAATGATAGCACACATAAAATCAAATAGCCTTTGAAAATGCCCACAACCAGTATCCATAAAATTAAAGTGTGTAGCCCTTTAGGACATGAGGAGATCTTGAAAAGGCCAATTTTCTCCTTAAGTTTGTGTGTCAAACTAGATATGGAGTACTTCCAAAGTGCCAAACCACCAAATGTGCAAACTTCTTACTGGATTGCAATGATCTCTATGTAATAAAGATCAACTGCACTTGAAAAATAAGAAGCCACACCAGTCATTGGACTGAACTCCAAAACCCACTCCTTAAGATCAAAAACTTTGCAGCTGATCCAATAATATAAACCAATTTTCTTAATGGTCATAGGAAGGAACAAATAAAACCACATGGGGTAGTATCACTAAAACTCCATGCTTTATTTGTGTGAAAAAAAATACTCACAAACATTTCAGAGACAAAGCATGTAAAGCCAAACCATTGTACACTGGTGAGTGTGATGACGCCACAGGCCAAGGCCCTACCCTACACATTTCATCAGCAATCAGATGTTGTCAGAGGACAGGAAGTCCCCATTGTAATTCTCTTGTTCCCCCATTAGGTGTCAAAATAGGAAGCAGTGAATAAAGCTTCTTAGGGATTTAGGTAGCTTATGTTCTGCCTCGACAGTGGTGGGGCAAGACATATATATAGCTTAGACAAAAAGGGATTCTGGTAACTATTCTCAGAATGTGGAATTGGATTCTCAGAGATGACTAGCTCAGGACTCACCATGTAGGAGACTTCAATAGCATGCTTCCTCCTTGGAGGAGAAGCTGGGAACAGTTGGGCGGGCTGTCACATTTAAAGGACCTATTATGCATTATGACTACTCTCATTTCTTAGGACTCTTACGGAACTGCTTCTGTCTCTGTCTGTCCGTGAAGTTTATAACTTAAAAGTGTGCTACCTCCAACTGGAATGTTGAATGAAGTGCTTGTAAATACTGTTACATGTTATTAACATGAAGGCCAAAGCCATCTATTATGTGGGCATTCCATTATACCTAACCACAGGTAGGAACATCTCCTGGAAAGTTATGAAGGATCCATCTCCTTCCAAGCTGTTGTCAGATTTGTTGTGTGGGGAGGAGAGGAGGGTAGGTTGGACTTCAAAGGGGCCTGTTGGGTGACTGGTACATGTGATAAAGTGCTGCTTTAAGGCCACTTTCCTTATATACATGTAGGCTTATTTCACACTATCTGTTCTCTGAATACTGTACTGTTAAAAAGCTTTAACAGATAGCAGATGAGGATTGATGGAGAAATCATCTTGTACAAACTCTACATGATCCCTTTGCACCCAGAACTGCTGTTGAATAGCAAAGATACTATGTAAATCTATTATTATAAATGGTATATGATTATTTTGGGCTTTTTGACCCTCATCAGTGTAAGGTAAGGTAAACATGACTCTATCACTTAGGACTAAAAGGTACATAGTTAAGGCAGTAAATCAGCTTAAGATGATGTGGGCCAAGAGGAACCCAATGGCACCCATTTTACTCCTCCAACTGTCTTGAACAATAAATGAAAAATCCAATAGGAATGTGACATGACTGCAGCTGATAAAAAAAAGTGTATTTCCCAAAAGATGTGAAACGGTAAAGAGAAATTTAACTACTCAACATCCACCCAACGTTGAGATAACAGCAGGGGCGGACTGACCATTTGGAAACTCGGGCACTGCCCGAGGGCCCGGGGTCAGTAGGGGGCCCCATGAGATGCCCCTGGTTTCTTTCTCATAGGCCTTTTTGAGTTTGGGCAAGGACACAGGGGCCCCATGATCCCCATTGCCTGGGGGCCCATGAGTTGTCAGTCCGCCCCTGGATAACAGTTTAGATTAAACTACTTTTAAAAATTAGTTTTCAGCTGCAGGATTCCCTTTGGTTTGAAATGTCAAACGGGATGAAAAAAATATTTGAACATCTAATCATTTAAATTGATGGACTTGATGGAAAGAAGAACGCGACTTTAAAACAGATAAAGATACTACAAATGAGAAGTGTGGAACAGATTTAAATCAAACAAGAGCTAGATAGTGACCATCTCATTTAATGTTCATAGCTATTTTTATTATACTGTATATGTATTATCTAACAGTGTTACGTGTGATAGGTGTTTTCTTCAGTGAGTTTTAAAATATAGCATATTGCTAATTAAATGCTTATATGCCATAGTTTTAAATGTATTTTATAATTTAAGTATAGGGATTACTAAGGTTTACTACAAAAACATCAAATAGTTAATTAACAGGATATACTATATAACAGAGGAAAAGGAAGTGTTGCTCTCAACAACCAATTTGATTATTCCCTGTATTTAAATCCACTTCAAACAAGGATAGTGCTGATTGATTGATTGATTGATTGATTGATTGAATGACTGGTTGCTGTGGGTGACATTTTTTTCAAAAATGATTTTAATGGCATATGTTATAAGAACATAAAGGTAAATTATAACTCTCTCATTGCCTATGTAGGTTTTCATCTTCTGTGGTCCCAACCAATAGCAGAGGCAGACTATAGTAATTTTGTTTCCTTTCACTGTGAATATTAAAGCTGTATGGTGATAAGCACAAGTTTTCAAAAGTAGAAACACCTCTTAAATCTAAAGACATAAATTATATTTTAATACAGATGCACTGTTGATGTTAATAGAATTATTCTAGTTAGGTAAAACACCACCAGGCCCAGCTTTCTTGCATGGTAGCCAAATATTTTTTTTATTTCTCTACCATAAATTATAGGCTCAATTCACTACATTGTAAAAATCATTATTTTTCATAACAACCATTATTATTATCAATAAAAGAAAAACAACATTTATTTGGATGAAATTAAAGAATATTATTGCAAGCTACATGTGCCTTTTACTTCCGTTAGTTGAATCGAATGTCTCTATGAACTACATTTTATTACAGCATACTTTTTGTACCGTAGTAGTATGCTACACATGGCAGTTCAATTGAAGAGAAAAGGAGACATGAATGATATATATCACACTGAACAAAAACAGTTATTAGGATTGTTGCAGAAATCTTCTATCAAAAAAAGGAAAAGAAGACATTTAAAGACTTAAAAACGTTATTAAATTTATTAAAACACATAAAAAATACCAAGTTACACTTCTAACCAAGATCAACATTTTCCAAAAGAAACCATAAAATATAAGTGACATATTACAAAGGCTTACAAATCAATACAAAATCTAGCACATGCCTCAATTTACTGATTGATGCGCTTACTGACCACAGATTTCCTTTGCAGTTGTTGAGTTGCTTTAGCAGTAGAGACATACAAAATGGTGTTATCTCCTTGGTTCAGTTGATGATCAATGATGACCAACCATGACTCTACAGTAAGTTCTTGCTGGTTATATATTATTAGGAGAAGCTTACCTTGTTCCAAATGATGCTTGTTACGTGTAAGACAAGTAGGGTTGGATCAAGCAAGCACCCCAGTCAGGCTTTATTTTGTGGTTAGAAGAAGGAAACAACTGACATGAATTTATGTCTTTATAAGGAAATTCAGCCGTTTTAACTCTTCCCCTATTTCAAGCGCCACCTGATTAGTCAAAAAGATGTTAACACTGCTAGCCACTTCCTAAGCTGTTTAGAGAGTGCTTTTGTAATACTTTTCAGCTATGCAGTGTCTGCATTGATAGTCGCTACTACAAGAGTTTAGACAATAGTGAATTCAGTTCTACTTTACACAGTGATCAAGCCTTGGTTTTGCATCAAATACCAGTTTGCTACAACTTTTTGAGCCTTTCAGTTATTTTAACATACTGTCTTGTGAGATTGTTGGCTCCAAGCATGCTTTTACATGGCAAATAGATTACAATGGGTTTCAATAACCATGCCAAAGCGCACTTTACATGTTTTTGAATGGAGAGAAGGAAGGAGTGGGTTCACAGAGAGTGATGTCTGAACGTACATTGGTATGGAGTACTAAAGACAAATAGGCTGTTCATTTTGCAAGGAAATTTTCCCTTGTTTAGTGATGGTGGTGAAAATTCATTTTGCAAAGAATACCCAATAGTTTGCAAGAAAAAATAAAAAGACTATGTTTGTGTCAGGGATCACCGCAGCGCTGGTCCCTGGCGCAGGCGCAGTGCGCCGACCTTGTGCAGGGACGCGGGCACTAGGTCTGGGCCGGCCGCGGCATCCAAACTCGCGCATGCGCACTAGAGGCCGCGCGCGCCTGGCACCAATGACAGCGCAGGGCACGATATTTAAACAGCCCTGAACTGTCATTGAGTGCCGTCTGGTCTTTTCTGCATTCCTGTTACCTGTGAACCTGTATCCTGATTGTTGCTGACCCGGATTGTCCTTGACCACGCTGAATTCTCCTGCTCTGACCCTTGGCTTGCCTGACCTCTCTCCTGGATGCCCCCTATTGGATCTGATCTTCTGTTGCTGACCTGGCGTGTGACCCGACTATTCTCTGCCCGCTACTTTGTACCACACCGTCCCCACGGCTACCGACCCGGCTTGTCTGACCTCGCACCTGCTCAGCCATCCATCCATCCCATCGGGGTCACCCGACCTCCTCATATCAGGCTCTCCCCTGTGGGAGCCCTGGCGAAACACCCCTACCACTGGTGGGTGTACTCAGTAGTCACGACCTGGTCTCAGAGCGCTCCAAGTCCATCCCCACCATCAGGGGCCCTGGTGAACAAGTGCCCTGGGGCTTAGATTCCGTACTCTGGGGGCACCTGACCAGTGGAGTGCTAGTGGTACCGCAGGCGGTCCGTTACAGTACCAGACGGCCATGACTGAACCTAGAGGAGGGCCCTCCCCACTGGAAGACATTTGTAGGCACTTGACGGCCCTGACACAGGCCAAGGCAGCCCTACAAGATAAATGTATGCATTTGGAAAATCGGTTTCAGACCCTTTCCGTATCTGACACTACCCCACAGGCCCCTGCTTCTGCGCCTCCGGCTGGAGAGGCTCCTGGGCCGGCCATAAGAGCTTCTGCTCCACCACCTATGGTGGAACCCCGAGTACCCCTGCCGGAACGTTTTCGCGGAGACCGTACTCGCTTCAGGGCCTTCAGGAATTCCTGTCTCCTATTTTTTGACTTACAACCACGCACCTTCACGACAGAGTCGGTTAAGGTGGGATTCATAATCTCCTTATTACAGGACGAACCCCAGGACTCGGCCCATCAGTTACCGGAGAACCATGACCCACACCTTGCAACGGTAAAATACTTTTTTTGAGGCTATGGCCATCCTCTATGATGACCCGCAGCGGCAGCCTCCGCCGAATCGGCGTTATATTCACTTAAGCAGGGCCGCCGGGCTGCGGAAGAGTATGCTTCCGAATTTAGGTGGTTAATGAGGGACACTCGCTGGAATGATGCCGCTCTGCGGGCACCAATTCCGTATGGGACTCTCAGAGTCCCTCAAGGATGAGTTGGCCCGAGTAGGCCTACCTGAATCTTTAGAAGATCTCATCGCTCTGGCAATCCAAATAGACCGGAGACTTCGGGAACGCAGATTTGAGAGGTCCAGCCAGGGTCACGGAAATACATGGGTTCCGGTCCAAGGCCTCGGTCAGCCAACCAGGATGGATCACCAGACCTCACCTCCTGGGGATGCCCAGGAACCTATGCAGCTGGGAATGGCTCGACCTAAACTATCTCCCAAGGAACGCCAGAGCAGAGACGATCCCAGAACCCTCTGCCTCTACTGCGGTGAAGCGGTCACATGGTACGGACCTGTCCTCTGAAAGCGAGTAAGTCTACCTCTTCTTGTTCCTCCTTATCTATTGGGGATGTTAGTCATTCCAAATTACTTAGTTGTGCCCTCTCCTTCCAGCTTCCAGGAAGAACCGTGGAGGTGACAGCCATAGTTGACTCAGGGGCGTGCAGTTGTTTTCTGGATCTAGACTTCGCTCACCAGCAGAAGATTCCCCTACAGCCCAGAAAGAAGGGTTTTTAATATATTTTTGGCTGATGGTTCCCAGATCGCCACCACAATAGCTAACCAGCATCAGGAATTCCTCCGCCTCGACGCCATCTCCCCTTTTCCCAGTCATTTTGGGGCTTCCGTGGTTGCGGGCCCACACAACCCCCAGATTGACTGGGAGACCGGGTTATCCTTTCCATTCACCATACTGTCAGGAACACTGTCACACTTCGGGCCCTGCGACCCCCAAGTCCTCCTGTGCTCCGAAGGGGACCCTAACTTAAAACAAGTTATTCCAGCGGCCTATCATGACTTCTTGGATGTTTTCATTAAGCGAGGGGCAGATACCCTGCCCCCCCACCGCCCCTATGACTGTCCCATTGACCTGTTGCCCGGCTCTGAGATTCCATTTGGGCGAATTTTTCCATTGTCTGAACTAGAATTAGGGGTCCTTAAGGACTATATTGATGAAAATCTCCAAAAGGGGTTCATCCGCCCCTCCACTTCACCGGCAGGGGCTGGGATCTTCTTTGTGGAGAAAAAGGATAAATCTCTGAGACCTTGCAATTGATTACCGCGAGTTGAACAAAATCACGATTAAGAATCGCTATCCTTTGCCCCTGGTCCCAGAACTGTTTCAGAGCCTGAAATCCGCAGCCATATTTACTAAACTAGATTTTTAAGAGGGGCCTACAATCTGGTTCGCATAAGGGAGGAGGACGAGTGGAAGACTGCGTTCCGCGCTCGTTTTGGTCACTTTGAATATCTGGTCATGCCATTTGGGCTTTGCAACGCCCCAGCCA